GACAAAGTAAAATTTGGAAAACTGAATAAGGCACAAAGACAAAAGCTAAATTTCAAAGCCAAGTAAGAAATTCAGTAGAAACTATTTCAAATTCTTGATTGATTACAGAGATTATGAAAGATATAACTATATTTAATAGTTAAAAGCCAAAGGCTTTAGGAAGTTTGAAAAGGCAAGCTAGAATAAAGAATAGATGCTCTCAGATGGGTTGCAAAGGTTATACCATTCAGAATGGAACTAGTAAGATGTGACGGGAAAGTGAAATTGTTGATTTCAGAAAAGTAACTTCATAATTACATATTAATGTTGATTCCAATGTAATTTCAATTACATCAGAAAGAAAGCAGTTTATATCTATCAATTAAATTTGGAGGCTCAGACTTGTAAACCAAATAATCTTAAAACTTGGGAGTAAACTAAAATCAAGTTATTCCTCTGTGTGCATAAAACATTCACAGCTCTTTGTGAAAATAATTTTTATAACAGAAGTTTTGAAATAAGAAAATAAAAATTTAAAAGTAACCTTCTGACCCAGAAAGAATTGACACCATTTAGAAATCAAAGATAACCTAAATAAACAGACATACTGTGTTTAAGAATTGGAAGATTCAATATAGTAAAGATGTCATTCTTCACAAATCAATTTAATGCAATTCTTATCAACATACCAGGAAGGTGTTTGTACACATAAACAAGTTTATTCTAAAATTTATATGGGAAGGCAAAGGACCTAGAGTAGCTAAAAATTTTAAAATGTAACATGAGAAGAATCACTGTATCTGGCATTAAGGCATACTAGGAATCCTTAAATTAAGACAGTATGGTAATGACAGAAGGAGGAACACATAGATTAATAGAACAGAACAGAGAATCTAGAAATAAACCCACAAAAATGTGTCCAACTAATTTTTGATAAAAGTGTCAAAGCAATACAATGGAGGAAGAATAGCCTTTTTTAACAAATGGGGCTAGAGCAACTGGGCATCCACAGACCCCACCCCCCAAAAAAAGCCCATTACCTGAACCTAAATCTCAACACCCTGCCCCAAAATTAAACTCAAAATATAAATCCTGGACTTAAATTAAAACAAAATCTTTATAAAATACCAAATTGTGAGGCCAGGGTTGTGGCTCAGTAGTGGAGTGCTTGCCTAGCATGTGTAAGGCACTGGGTTTGATCCCTGGCGCCACATATAATACAAAAATAAAATGAAGGTATTGTGTCCATCTACAACTACAAAAATATTTTTTTTAATACCAAATTGTATACCTTAAATGTGTGTGTGTATAAAATTTTCGTCAATTATACCTCAGTAAAAGTGGAGGAAAGTCCTTTTGGGAAAAGTACAGGCGATAGATACAACTGGGATAGAGGCAAAGAGTTCCCAGGCTTAACACCAAAGCACAGTCAATAAGAAAAAAATGATATATTTGATCACATCAAAATTTAAAACTCTCTCAGAAGACCGTGAAGAGGATGAGAAGACAAGCTACAGATTGGGAGAACATATTTACAAATCACACATCTGAAAAAGGACTTGTGTCAAGAATATATAAAGAACTCTAAAAAATCCACAGGAAAAGCATAATAATCCAATTAGAAAAATGACAAAACAGGGCTGGGGTTGTGGCTCAGTGGTAGAGATCTTGCCTAGCACATGTGAGGCACTGGGTTCAATCCTCAGGACCATATAAAAATAAATAAATGTATTGTGTCCATCCACAAAATAATAATAATAATAATTAATTTTTTAAATGGCAAAACAAAGAAAATAAATAGATCTACAGATATTGAATAAGCACATAAAAAGATTATCCATCCTCAGCTATTAGGAAAATGCAAATTAAATCACAATGAGATGGTATTASACAGCTATTAGAATGGCTGAAATTAAAAACAGCATAAACTCCAAACACTGACAAGAATATGGAAAGTGGACAGTTAAATATTGCTGGTGTGTAAAATGGTACCACTACTCTAGAAGAGAATGGCATTTTATACAGAACCAAACATATATTTATCTTACAACCCAGCAGGTACACTTTTAGACATAGCTCAGAGAAATAAAAACTTTTGTTCACACAAAAATCTGTACATGAATACTCATAGCAGTTTTGTTAGTTAATAGCCCAAAACTGGAAATAAACCAAATGCCCTTCAACAGGATACATTGCAACACTCTGCAGTACATCTATACCATGGAATAATACTTGGGAATAAAAAGAAACTACTGACACATTCAACAACTTGGATGAGTGTATATGTGAAATCTGCCAACATCAAAGGTTACATGCTGTATAATTCTATTTGTATAACATTCTTGAAATGACAAAACTATAGAGATGGCAAATGGATTAGTGTATGCCAGAAGTTAGAGGGGAAGGGAAGAGGGAGCAATGGCTATACCAGGGTAACACAAAGGATCCCTGTAATGAAACTATTAAGCATCTTGAATGCGTTCATGGTCACACAAGTCTGTACATTTGATAAAATTTTATGTAACTACACACACAAATATATATAAAAATATAACATCAAAAGCTGAATAAGTTTGATGGATTATATTAATGAATCACAACCAATTTCTTCATTAGAATGTTGTATTATAGTTATGTAATATGTTACCACTGGGGAAAACTAAGTAAAAAGTATATGGAATCTTTCTATATAATTTTCTTACATATGCATGCCCAACTACAGTGAACTTAAAATGTTAAGCTTTTAAAAATCCAGTATGAAAAAAAGATTGAGGACACTATATTGTTAACTGTTTCAAAGACTTATCATTACAGATGAAAGATTTTTGTGCTCCCGAGTGAACAGTCCTATCTACAACTTGGAATCACACACTTATCCCCATTTTTCCTATCCTTGTTTCTGCTCTCTCCTCTACCACCCACCCATCAACCTCCTTCATAACTGGCTATAAAAGAGAACTGCAATTTACAGCTGTTTATATGTATGTATGCACTGTAATTTCTTTCTTTCTCTGTAGTTTTATTCATCCTCTCTGTTTTTATCATTTATATTAATCAGCATTTTGGATTATTTATTTATTTATTCATTTTGGGGTGCCAGGGATTGAAGTCAGGGGCACTCAACCACTGAGCCAAATCCCTAGCCCTATTTCGTATTTTATTTAAAGACAGGGTCTCACTGAGTTGCTTAGTGCCCCGCTAAATTGCTGAGGCTGGCTTTGAACTCTTAATCCTTCCTCCTCCGCGCTTACCACTGGGATTTCAGGCCTAGGCCATCACACCAGGCCATGGGTTATTTATTCCTAATTTAAAAATCCATTATGTGGCACATGTTCTAATTCCCTTTAAAAAGTAATTCAATTCATGTCTTCATAAATGTACTTTGGATAATGATGTCCATCACATTCCACCATTATTGATAACCTCCTACTCCCTCCCTGGTGTGAACAAACTTTATATACAAATAGAGATATGAAAATTTATGTTCTATATATGTGATAAGAATTGTAATGCATTCTTCTGTCATGTATTTAAAAAATAAAATCAGTTAAAAAACAAAAATTTGTTCTAACCCCTTGAGGGGGTCTAAGGATATGGACTTGCAGCCTGCTCCTTGGCGCACCTGCTAGTGAATCTGCACCAACAGTTTGTGAATAAATGTTTCATATCCTGCTTATATAAACAAAAAAAATAAATGAATGAATGAATAAATAAATAAATAATTCGAGGAGCTGGGGTTATAGCTCAGTAGTACAGCACTTGCCTAGCATGTGTGAGACACTAGGCTCAATTCTCAGCACCACATAAAAATAAGTAAAATAAAGGTCCAATGATAAGTAAAAAGAAAGAAAGTGGGCTGGGGATGTGGCTCAAGCAGTAGCGCGATCGCCTGGCATGCGTGCGGCCGGGATTCGATCCTCAGCACCACATACAAAGATGTGTCTGCAGAAAAAAACTAAAAAGTAAATATTAAAATTCTCTCTCTTAAAAAAAAAAAGAAAAAAATAAAGTACTTTAAAAACAAAAAAGTAATTCAAGTACCAATTCCTTATTGAATGATAACTGCTTTCAATCCCCATCCCACCTCATGGTAAATAACCCTAACATAATGACTGCAAAATTTAGAGAATAAAGTAGGAACCTTTTCTGGCTCTAAGACACACTGTATTTAATAAGCCACTGCCCCTGGCATTGGTATACTAGCCATGCTTATTATACAGACTAAGTACTATAACAAGCTGCGCATTAAAAAATAATTAATAAGTACAGAAACTTAATTTACTTACAGTTCTGGGTGTTCTTTGCTCAGAAAGCTCTCACAGCAGACATTATTCCCATAAATTTTGCTTACCTTTACTTTCTAAACTACTTATTAATTATAAGTAACAGAACCCAACTTAAGGTTTCTGTTTGTTAGATAGCAAGTGGCAATCTAATATAAGTTCCATGTGTAAAAGTCATGAAATAGGACTCTTTTTCTTCCTTTCTCTAAAAAAAGGAAAAAAATCCAAAGATTTTTACTCTCAGGCCTATTTCAATATTCTACCATCTACCCTTCTATAAGGTTTTGTTTTGTTTTGGGGAGTACGGAACATACCTTGCCCCAAATGATGTATTATGCATATCTATTACAATGAACAAAAAGGAAATCATAGATCAGATTTCTTATGTTATAGTCCTGAAAGGTCAGTTTTATGTAGCCTCACTACTATAGTATAATTTTCAATTTTAAAGAAAGAATCAAATAGCCAAATAGGAATTTTTCCCTCAAATGACTAAGATCCCTGGAATTAAACATTCATTCATCAATATGTGGCTTATTAACATATACAATCTTTTTGGCATCTTGCTCTTAAATATACAATCTTAAATTTTCTGTAGTTTCTTACTTGGATAATACTAAAAATCATTTTCATTTATAAACAAGTATGAAATCGCAACAGGCTATTTAATCAGAGCATATGAAATGTCCAATGAGAAACAATCCAAGACAGCACAATTAGAAGCTGTGAAAATTTTACCTTAATTCTTCTCTCAGTGTCATCTAACTTTAACTCTGCTGAAACTAGTTTCTTTGCCAAATCATCTCGTTCAGGTAGGTGTCTAGCTTCAGAGATCTTTCTCAGTTTCTCTAAGGAAAATTTTGTCCTAAATAGTTCACATTCTGCATCTTTCACCCTTTTTTCAGTTGCTCGTTCCTTCTCTTGAGATTTTCTTAAGCGTTCTTTGAGTGCTGTAATTTCATTGTTATGACGAACTACAAGTTGTGAGATTTCAAGTTCTGCATCTTCAAACTTATTCAGGGCTTTCTCCTGTCTGTACTGAAGCCTTTTCAAAGCTTTATTTTCTTTTAGCAGCTCAGCTAACTTGACCTGGAGTTCAGATACTTCATTCTGCAACTCATTGATTTTTAGCAGTCTTGCAGAAAGAACCCGTTTTGTGACAATATCAGAATTTTTCCGAAGTGGTTCTCTATTGAGGCTTTGGGAACGAATTCCCACTTGGACTCCTTTTTTGTTTGGTAGACCCTTAGGACTTGGTTTCCTGGAGGCTACAAAAGAGACAATAATAATATACAGTGAAARCTATACCAGATGTATATGTAGTATCATTCATTCATCCAAACACATGTGAGTCCATAACATTCTTTATTTTTGTTTTCAAAAAAGAATTTTTCCTGCCAGGCATAGTAGTGCATACCTATAATCCCACTGGCTCATGAGGCTGAGGCAGGAGGATCTCAAGTTTAAAGCCAGCCTCACAAGGGGTAGGTGAGTGATTGAGTGAGTGAGCCCCTGAGTTCAATCCCTAGTAACCAAAAAAAAAAAAAATTTTTTTTCCAATATTTTGTTAAATATCAGATTTTATTTCGAGCGCCAACATATTGGTTTAGGTACTCACTTCCCTAAACAGCTCTTAATATATTTCTATTAAGAAAGGTTTAGGGTCTTCTAAGAAAGATAAAGAATATTCTATCCATCAAAAATGGCATCCTATTTTCCCTGCATGAACCAGGCCCTGGAGTTCAATCCCCACCACTGGGGGAAGGATTATTCACACTGCTTAAAAAGATGGCAGCCTAGGGTTGTAGCTCAGTGGTAGAGTGCTTGCCTAGCATGTGTAAGGCACTGGGTTCAATTCTCAGCACCACACAAAAGTAATAAATAAATAAAATAAAAGTATACTGTCCATCTACTACTAAAATAATTTTAATAAAAAAGATGGCAGTATCAGGCTTTGACCACCTTTAATTTTATGAGATGACAAGTCAAAATTCAAACAGGAGCATCATTAGCATTGGAATGCTATAAAATAAACATTGGCCAAAACATTGTGATATTTGAGTCATCTATGCCAAGAAAATTGGAATTCTTATTTATTTGGTGCCAGGGATTGAGTCTAGAGGGGCTTAACCACTGAGCTACATCCCCAGCCCTTTTCTATTTTTTATTTTGAGACAGGATCTCACTAAGTTGCTTAGTGCTTCTCTAAATTGCTGAGGCTGGCTCTGAACTCACAATCCTGCCTCAGCGTYCCAAATTGCTGGGATTACATGTATGTACCATGATTCAGCTGTAATCCTTATTTTAAACATGAAAATTTTTCTTCTGTATTAATTACAACTCTTTTTCTTCATTTGGGGAAACAGAATGGCAGCTTATAGTATAGTGAGAAGATTTGAGATTCGAGATTTACCACTTAATAACCCCCTTGGACAATTCAATTAAACCTTTTCAATTCTATTTTCTCAACACGCAGGATGAAGATAACACTATATACATAAATAGATCATTGTTAAGTAAGGTATACATGTAAAAGAGGAACTTCTTCAGAGTATTCTCTGTTAGTAATAAGAACTTATATCCCAATTATCAAAATTATCAAAACTGAACAAAGGAAAACAGTTGTACAAGTGTATTTCTATATACTTTCTTGGGAAATTTCTTTTGTGTGATGTTCATATCAAAACATCAACATAATTTAAGAACAAGAAAAAAAGATCACATTCTATAAAAATAAGCATATGAAATATTTAAAAGTCTACATATTAAATTGTAACATTCTAAAAACTTTGGTATGTTTTATTTTTATTAAAAGTTCATTAAAATTAAGCCTCAATATACAGAGTACCTACTTGCCCTTTAAAAGAGTCATCTGAAAATTTGCCAGAGTTAAGATAATAAACTTTAATCTCTGAGGGGTTTTTTTCTCCTCATTTTTTTCCTCTCAAGGAAGAAATACATTCCAGGTTAAAAAGAAAGAAAAGAAAAACTGAAAGATCCAACCTTACCCTTCCCCATTTCACTATTCATGGATACCTGATTCATTAAGGAAACAAGAAAAAATAACAATTTTTATAATTTTACATTATAAAGTTTTCATTGAAAATATGAAAATTTCACAGACTGTTTTGAATGTACACTTATTTAGAATTCTAGCTCTATAAATGCTCAGATATAGAAAAAAAGTGGCAGCAATAAAAAGAAATGAGAGAATGACTAAATGAAACTATATCTATCCAAGATGGTAGACACTAGCCACATACAGCTTTGGAGAAACTTGAAATGAGGTAGTCTGAATAGAGATATCCTATAACTGTGAAATCCATACTAGACTTTGAACAGTTAGTTTAAAAATGCAAAACATTATACTATTTCATACTGACTATACAGAAATAATACTTTAACTATGTTGGGTTAAGTAAAATTAATTTCACCCATTTTTCTTTTTTGATGTAGTTACTAGTAAATATAAAATGACATGTGTTGCTTACATTTGTGACTTGAATTACATTTCCATTAGACAACATTGCTTTAGAATGTAATTTTGAATTTGGAGTGTCCGTTATTTAAATTTCCTTTCCTTCTTAACAACTGAGATAGCAGAGTTTTGAGTTATAGACTATCTACTCTGAAAGGACTGATACATGTTGATAGTTTTCAAATCGAGATGAAATATGTTAATAGAAGTAAGAAGAAAAAAGATAATTGGCTGTCATGTTTGTCATTCTTCTCTCCCTTGTTATGTCACTATCAAAAAGTGGGTGGAAAGATACTGGATTTTTTCTTCTTACTTCAGTTGTTCAAAATGAAATATGACTCATTTTTAAAATGCAGCAAAAATAAACTCTATCTAACAAAAAAATCAAGATATGTTTATATTACTGATAAGAAATAAATATGTAATATACAAACATGTATAACCAAAACTATTATTGTTATTTTACAACCAGGTGCAGTGGCACACTCCTACTGTAATCCCAGCAGCTCAAGTAAAGAGCCAGCCTCAGCAAAAGCAAGACACTAAGCAACTCAATGAGACCCTGTCTTTAAATAAAATACAAAACAGGGCTGGAGATATGTCTCCGTGGTCAGGTGCCCCTGAGTTAAATTCCCAGTAGCCATTACCCTAAAATATGTTATTATACAAAAAAATTCTAATAATATTATTTTATTTTAAAAATAATATTTGCTGAAAATTTAAAAGAAAGAATATACTATAAAACATGAAAACCTGAGAATTCARGTGATTAAGATGCTGCTTTCATCACATTTGTTTTTCCTTAATCTATATTAGTTGCAATTAAAACCTAGAGAAATTAACTTGGTGTTCAAATAAAAATATCAGTTTAGTTCTATTATTTGATCTAAGATGGACAAATGAACACAGATTTTAATTCAAAAGACAGTGGAAAACAGAAAACAATATGAGACAGATGGAAAATGATAATTGATAATTCCTGGTTGATACTGGAACCATTTTTCACAGCTTTTTCTTCATATCTTCTCAAAAAGATAAGGCTTATCAAATTCTGACTCTAATTGGGTGACTTGGTAAGTTACTTTTGGGGGAGGAAGGAAAAATTAAAGTACTCCTTACCTAATAATACTTAAGTATGTTAATAATTTCTTAGGAATAACAGGTATTTTCTAAGATCCAATTATAAAAGATATTTGCTCTTAATTATAAAACAGAAGCTTAAGATCATGCTCTCAATTATGAAACTAACAAGATCTTCTCACTGAAACAGGTTTGGAGGAAGGGATCCATACCCCACCATCCCCAAAAAACATTGCTTGTGGCGGGGGAGGCACTCAATTGTTAGAAATAGGGGCATCCCTGAGTAGCCAGATAGGGACTAAATTAGGGGTCCATGAAAAGACTGCTTTCAAAAGGAATACATATTCTTTGTAGTTTTTAATAGTATCATCACTTTTCAAAGTAAAATTTTATAAAAACAAATTAAATTATACCAATGCATATATCTTTTCAATAATTATTCCCCACAGAAATAGACATTAATTAAATTATATTATAATAAGATGCAAGGTATTTCATGATATGGCCTCTATTATTCTTTCAGCCTCTAATTTTTATCACTCTCTGCCTTGCAAGTTTTACCAATCTAAGCTACTGCTATTATAACTGTGCTTTTTAAATGCATACAATAATTACCTCACATACATTTACAATATTTTTCTAGGCTGTTATTACTCGGTACAACGAGATTTCCTGACCCGAAATTTAATAAAATGAAGAAATTATAGAAGACTAGGTAACCAAATATGTTCCAGAATAGTAACATTTTAATAACAAAAATATTTTTAATGATTATAATAGAGATCACAACACAATGGGAAAAAATTAGACTGGTAGTCCAAAATTCCAAGCGTATTCCTAGTTTTAATTCAAACTTTTGGAGTCCGCAATAAATTACCAAGGGTAAATAATTTCACTCAAACTATAAAAATGCCCCTAGCGACTTTATATCAATACCTTTCACTACTTTTTAAAAATGAAGATACAGAAAAGTACAACTGACTTGTAGGTTTTCTTTTGGTTTTGCCTTTACAGGAAGTACATTAGAGATCCAAAAATAAATATTTACTTAGGAGGAAGAGAAAATAAGCAGCCTTACGTTATTTTATTTTGTATAATGCATGATTTTGAATATTAAAAATGGAACAGACAGACCCATTAGCAAGGCTTATATAAATTTATTAAAATATAGCCTATTACAAATGTAAATCAGCCTACATCCATGTGTATAACACTATACATACTAATAGAAGACTTCCATTCGTACAAGTTTTCCTTAAGCATTGTACATAATCTTCTAGGTCCACAGAACTCTTCTAAAGAATACTTACATTGGCAATATACTTGGTTATCTGATGCTTGTTTTTTAGAAGTTTTTCCCATAGTAATTGTAGGTGAAGAAGGACTAACTGGCGATGACTGACCAGAAGACTGGGATGTAGATCCAAACTCAGAGGAATAATTAGAGCTATGTTGTTTGTCTGCTTTTCTTTCTTGATCAGCATTTGGACTTTTTGCTCTTTCCCCCATTGTTTTGAAAAATAGTCTCTAGTCACATAAATTCACAGATTGATGACAACACTGAAGAACATTTTCATAGTCTTCATAATATTATTTCCAGGCAATTTATTTTTTCCACGAAATATAACATTCACATTAGCACCCAAGATACACTTTATTCCCTATAATTAAGGAAGAGGAAAGGAGACTCATCATACATTCATGGAATACATTTCTACAATTAATTATAATGTAAAATGCTAAAAGAAAAATAATATACCATTTATAATTTATCTATTTTCACACATAAGTTTTTGACACTATTTGAACAAAAGACAGTTTCTGTCATGGCCTAGAAAGAAGATAACATGCAAAGTACTTAAATAAGTGTTAACTAATTTGATTCCCTTGAATCTTAAGAGTTATAATAAACATAAAACTTGAATCTTAACAGGGCTATAACCACCAATATTTTTCTTTTTTTGCTTAGTGGGAGGGAGAACGAACCTGCAAATCTGTGCAAAGAAAAATACCTAATATTTACTACAAAAAATGTAAAAATTAAGTATACTTTTAAAAAATTAAAAGAAAAGGCATTTGACAAAAAGCATTTCCAAACATGACAGGAAAATGGTTACCATCTGTAACATGTAAACAAATACCTCACATTATCTAAGAAGAAAAATATGAGGAAGAAGGTAAATAGGCAAAATATGTAAGACCCAAAAAAGCAATACAAATGATACACAAAAATGTTCATCCTCATAACATTTTTAAAGCTATAATATTATTAATTTTTTTCAAAACAATAACACTGTTTGCAGAGGTGCCATCAGGAAAAATCCATGGAATTTTGGGGAAAAAAGTTGGTAAGATGTATTAAAACTTTGTTGTTCCTTCTCGCCCTGCAACCGGCTTCTCTATCATCATCATCTTTTTCTATTACCAAAGATTGAACCCAGGGGTGCTTTACAAGTGAGCCACATCCTCAGTCCTTTTTATATTTTTTTTTAGAGATAGGGTCTCACTAAGTTACTTAGGGCCTGGCTAAGTTTCTGAGGCTGGCTTTGAATTCTTGATCCTTCTTGCCTCAGCCTCCTGAGGTGTGCACCACCATGCCGRGCTAATTGTGCTTTTAATCTCTGATTCAATAAAACCATTTCTGGATTCTGAGAAAATGACTCTAAAAATAGGGAGAAAGTCATATGCAAATGTCTAATGGAGGACAGTGCAATTTTTTAAAAATGGAAGTAACCTAGATATATAACCATCAGATTAATTGAGAATATAATTTATGTACTATAAAGTCCATACAGCATAGTTTTTGTTTACAAAAAGTTTATGTTCAAGAAAAATGCTTATGCTATTGTGGTAAAATAAACAAATTCCAACTAGTTTATATAGTATGATCTCAATGCACATTTATTGAAAAGAAGATTAAATTACTAAGTATTCTTCCTATTTAAACTCTTGATCCTCTTGCCTTGATCCTCCTTTTTAAATAACTGAAAACAATTTACAAAACAATTTACAATTTAGTCCACATTCACATTAGAAAAGAGAAGATACACTTTATTCCCTATAATTAAGGAAGAGGAAGGGAGACTTATCATACATTAATGGAAATAGTGTCTGCCTAAGCAACTTGGTTTTAGATTTTTGTATCTCTCCTTTAAAATATTTTGTTTTCTAATACATTCACATTAGACTACTTTTAAAATGAGAACAGTTGCTTTTAATATTTGGAAAAAAATCATCTTATTGATGAAATTAGCATTAATAGTATAGTAGTCCTAGGAATAAATGAACAGACATATGCACAAGACTAAAATAATCAAAACGACCATCAATAAGAAACTGACCTTAGAAACTGAAAACATCCACACAATGCAGTACTACGGAGCTATTAAAATAACGAGGACTTTCTTTGTATATTTGCTAGCAATCTGAGTAATTCTCCAAAATATATTAAGATAGGTAGATAGATAAGAGCATATATAGTGTGTAGCATGGTTTTGATATGGTTTTTCCCCAAAGGTTCCTATGCTGGAGGCTTGGTCTTCAGTTGAGCAGTGTTGATACTGGTAGAACATTTAAAAGATGGCGCCTAATAAAAGGTAATTAGGTCACAGGAGCATCACCCTTGGAAAAGATAAATGTTAATCTTCCATTAAATTCTCAAGAGAATGAGTTATTATAAAAAGACTCAGGCACCCTGATTCTCTCTGCTTCCTGTCTCACCATGTGATCTCTTCTTTCATCCTTCATACTTTCATCCAATGTATGACATCCACCATGAGGCCTTCACCAAAGGCTAAAGAACCAGGGCTGCCCATTCATGGAACACCCCATAAAACTATGAGCTAAATAAAGTTCTTTCAAATAAATTTCTTTCTTTATAAGTACACAGCCTTATTTATCAAAGGAGAACAACATTTTTTTAAAAAAAGTGGAAAGATAATTCATTTTTAAAAATTAAATATTTGATTTATCTAGGGTAGACTGTCCAAATAGAACTTTCATGAAGTATGTAAAGGTTCTATAATTTGTTATGTCCTATGTAGTAGCGGGTCACATGTGGTACTGGGCTCTTGAAATGTTGCTACTATGGCTGAGAAATAAATTTTTAATTTTAATTAATTTAAAATATAAAGGCCAAATGTATGGTGGTTAGCTTATTGAAAAAAACAACTATAGCATAACAGAGGAAGAAGAGCTTGGAAACGGGATGGAAACTAAACTCTTGTATAAACCTATGTGTAGGGCTGGGGATGTGGCTCAAGCGGTAGCGTGCTCGCCTGGCATGCATGCAGCCTGGGTTCGATCCTTAGCACCACATACAAAGATGTTGTGTCCGCCGAAAACTAAAAAATAAATAAATATTTAAAAAAAAAAAATAAAAATAAACCTATGTGTAGACTTGACTTTGAAAATAAATTTTTAAAAATAAAAATTTTTATAAAGCAATTCCTATAAATCAAAAGAAAATAAATCACTCTAACTGCATATATAATTAGTGGCAAAAATACATAAAGTAACCAGTTCAAATAACTTTAAAACACAACTTGACTTTATTTCCCCAGAGAGATATATCCCAGTGACAAAGCAATACATTAAGGGCTATTTTCAGTAATTGTATCATTGGTATTGTTATTCTCAGATTAATACATGTGTTAAGATAAAGCAAATGAGTAATTATTGTTGTTGAGCATGGTCACTAGAATTTTCAACAGGAAAAGACAAAATTTATCTAATAATGTAAACTCTGAAATTCTGAAGTCCAAAATTTGAATTACAAGTATCAGTATGAACTTAAGATGACTTCTTTAAAAAAAATGTCTTAGCTGTCCACTCAAAAATTCTAGAAATAAAAAACAAATGAACCAGGTGTGGTGGTGCATGCCTGTAATCCCAGTGGCTTGAGAGGCTGAGGCAAAAGGATTCTAAATTCAAACCAACCTCAGCAGCTTTTTGAGGCCCTATCTCAAAAAATAATGTGGCTCAGTGGTTAAGCACCTGTGGGTTTAATCACACACACACACACACACAAAAAAAAAAAAAAAAAAACACTAAAATCGAACGAGTTGTAATAAACTAGCACCCAAATGTGGTTTCTGAATGCCACTTCCCAATAAAAGAACTAAAGCTCCTTGTAAATGTCTAATTTCATGTCTGAGGGAAGAAATATAAAAGATGAATCAGAAATCTAGAGGTTTGGTCATTTCAGAAAGCAAGGAAGATATCAGACACTACTGATGAAAGTACCAAAAGGGCTGAAGAGCCAATTTGAAGACGCTCCTACTAGCCAAAGATGGGAAATGTTCATCATGCGTAGAATTACATCAGTAAGTGATTAAAACAGATCAAATATATGTAATCTAATATCATATATTTTAAAAAATCAGTCACCCTTGGAAGATGCTAGAGAACCAACTCATTAATTAGAAAATTGATACATAAAGGGGTAAAAATGAGTATACTGCCTACAGTGCCAAAAGCTGTATCTTAAAATAACAATGTAGCACATGAGGGAAAGTATTTCTTTAGAATTATTTTAGAAAACAAAGGGAAAAGAAAATATTGAAGTGAAGGAATTAGATTGTAACCACTAATGAAATAATAAAGCTAGATAATGAATACCAATGGCTATAACCAAGTATTTCGGTTTGGACATAAGGTGTCCCCCCAAAAGCTGTTGTTAATAGAATATTCAGAGGTGAAATGATTGGATTATGAGCACTATACACTTATCAGTCCATTCTAGTTTAGATGGACTGAATGCTAACTGTAGGCTATTGGAAAATGGCTGGAGGAGTGGTCATAGGGGGCATGTCCTGAAAGGGTTCATCTTCCCTGCAGCTCTAAGTTGCCATGAGGTAAGCAGTGCTCCCTTTGCCACACCCTTCTGCCATGGTATTCTGCCTCTCCTTGCACCCAGAACAATGGAGTCAGCCCACTATGGACTAAACCTCTAAAACCATGAGTCAAAATGAACTTTTCTTCCTCTAAGTTGTTCTTATCAGCTATTTCGGTTACAAAAAGGCAAAGCTAACATGTTGTGGAAAAAAAAAAAAAAACAGATATTATGTGCCTCCTCATAGTACACAACAATACCTCTGAAATATTTGCCTTCCCTCCCAAAAGAGTTAAATCTAAATCTGATCAATCCTCTAAATATAAATGACAATTTACAGAAAATACAAGGTGTTAGATTCTTACGCAAAAGTAACTCCATTTTAAAAATCATCACCTACCCACCCAGGCATGACCTTCCCATTAGGCTTGCCCCCAAAGAGTCCCTAATTACTGAAACCACAATACAGATACCAAGTAACAATCATAGGACCAGAAGGGTTATTTTTAACTAGTTCATTGTACATGACTATATAATAAGTTTTTTCCAGCAGGCTACTGCACCTTGCAGAAGGGCAGCCTGGCAGATATTCTCTGTCAATAAATCTTTGTTTGAACTCAGAGATGTGTCTCTCATGGATATTTGCACCAGCCACCCTAACACAAGGGACAGAAGGATAGAAGTACAAGGAAAATAACAGCAAAATCCAAACTGAGGCAAACTCTACAAGAAAAATGTTTCTTCAACAAATAAATTACAAGCAGAATAGGAAGATGGTATTTATATATTGAGAAAGTCTTAAGAAATAAGAGTTTTATTA